CATGCTGAAAAGAGAAGAAAAGAAACATGTTTCAGCTGTGGAGCCTTCTTAGGGTGTGTTCTCAGCCAAAGAAGGCTCCACAGCTGAAACATTGTGTTTCTTTTCTTCACTTTTCAGCATGGAATAAAACTTTACTTGTTCTTAATTGTAGCATGCTATTTTACTTTAAAATATACAGTACACATAAATAATTTTCTCTGTTGTATGATTAATGATTATTGTTTCAAGAGATTTTAATGTAGTTTTGTTTCTGACTCTGTATCTTGTTTCACTTCAATGTAAACTCACCCAATGACACAACATGCTTCAACCAAAGTAAAACAGAAGCAGCATGAAAGTGAAATAGAGTGTGTATAAAATCCTATCAGTTACTTCTTATCAGGTCTAATTGGGTAATTTAATTTAATACCTAAAATAAAGGCTTGACTATATTTTCTCATCTGGTAGCAATCTAAAGTTTTTAGTAGTGATGTGATGTGTTGTGATAATAATACATCCAGGAAAAGAAAAGAAAATATGCTGATGCAACAGTCTACATTTTACATCATTAGCTCTTTGGGCCCGTACAGTACATAATGTTATTAAAGTTTCATATAGTGAGCACAGAAAATGAAACATACAGCCATGGCTTTCATAAGAAATTAAGATCATATGGTTACTATCTGAATGTCTATTAAGAGTATTCTCCATGGACGATCATAGTGTTATGATCCACTGCATTGAGAACAATATGAATCCAGGAACCCCATAATCTTTAAATTCAGTCCGTCAGTGTAGGGCATTTGTTTGGGCCTGCAGAATGGACTAGGTCTTCTTTGAAATGATTCCAGAGTGGTAGTATACTGTCATTTTTTGTATTGTGTTGACCAAAATCTTACAAAATATACTAATGTATATGTGGTCTTGTGCATTGTACCATTTTAAAATAACATTCTCTGAATTAATTTCTACACTTTAACCAAATATCCAAACATTTTGAGTGCCTTTTGTAACACTTCCTCACACCAGATTGCTTGGAGACACTCTAGAGTTACCATGGCAACTGATGCAACCTTAACTGCTACATCTGTTAATTCAGCAGTTACTGTGATAACACGATGAGGACGAAAATCAATTCCACCTGACCTCAATTAAAATTCACTTACCTCATTCATCACTGGATATTTAAATATCAGTGTCTATATCAGTTCTTAGAGCTTTGTCTTGAGTCTTGGCTTCTTCTTTGTTTTGCTCCTCCTCAGTTCACTTGGCTTTGCATTTGGATTTCACCTGTGCATTCCATTATCACTGCTGACCACAAACTATCCTTTGTTTTCTCTCAGACTTGCTTGTGGGTTTTCCTTTGATGCCCTTTTCTACTTGTCCTCCTGGTTTGCTGGATTTCCCAATTGTTTGCTTGATATTACCTTGGTCTGTTGTCTATCTTCGTCGCTTCACCTGCAACTAGGTTCAACTCACAGCCACAGACAGCTGCTCTAAATCACACTTGCTTTTCAAACAGTGCTCGCCTGATGAAAAATAAAAAAAACTAAAAAGTCTTTCTCAAAAGTAGCCCCTTCAAGTTTGGAGTTTCCCATTTAGCTTGATTTTGCTGCTTACATGCAAAAACCTGCACTTGTCTACTTTCAGTGTCATCTGCCCAGTTTTGAATTTTAACTAAATAATGGTATTTGTTTTTTGCAATTACTCATAATTAGACCAGAGGCCTTCTTTTAAAGTAAGAAAGATGTAACTAGATAAGGTTCTACCAAACAGGCTAACTTCCCTGTAAATTTTATGTAATAACACATGTTGGTGCTTTCTCTTGTGTACTTTCAGAAATAAAATAAAACAAATTGCTTCATTTAAGAGGGTAAGTCAGTTGAATTTCTCTTTTTACAATGCTGATTTGGAGACTTACTTACTGCGCCTAACTGTGAAGTGGCAGCCAATGACCCACTGGTCTGGAATCCAGAGCCCTACACAGGGCTACACAGTGCTGCCCTAGTTGATTACCAATTTGTTGACTAGTGCTGCAGTTGGTTCTATATATCTTGTGATATATTCTATTTCACTTGTGTCTGTGACAAATATTTTTTTTAATCTTTTACTGTACTTTAATAACACATTTGTTCTCAGAAAAAGACACTGATGGCTCAAACACTTTTTTGACAATTTCCACATTCAGAAAAAAAAAACATTTGTATCAAGAAATCCTACCAGAAAGAAGGACTATCAGACTTGCTCTTGATCAGTTATTTCCTTTTTTTTAATTTTCCATATGCATTGTGGTCTTTATTTTTCAGGTTTTAGAAAAAAGATTGAATATTCAGATTTGATTCTAAGCTGAGGTTTTAATCATTTATGCTAATAATAAGACTTTAAATCAAACATTTAAACAGGCTAAAGTCAACTAAAGGTATCATGTTCTACAGATGCATCTACATTCGATTAAATTTCAGAATTACTGTGTTCTGTAAGAAGATTTAATTTAATCAAAACTAAGAACAAGGGTGCAAATAAAGTATTAAAAGTAATAAACCAAAAATCCTAGTTTAAAATCTTTCTCCCTATTATTAATTAATACATTAACTATGCTAAAAATAGTGTATGCACAGTTTAGTAAAGACAAAAAACTCAGGTTTTAGAAGAAATGTTTATTTTAACAACTGGAGTACATGCCAAAAAAGAATAATTTACAGCAGCACTTTTTTTATTATACTTCCATCCAGTTCCATAGAGACCATCTGAAATGCAATGAACAATGCTATCATGTAATTGCATTGCTCTTAAGAAAACACCCATGCTATCTGATGGATACTGTATTGAGTTCCATTGAAATATTAAATAACTGTTTTTATTCAATGTGGGGAACATTGTTGTATATTAGCAGATGAAAAGTGATATACAACACATTAGAATATAGTACCTAAAGATGACAGTACTTTACACTGTACCTTTAATTTAGCTAAGGAAAAAATATATACACCTTTAAAACAGGTTAATGTGTACTGCATAATGCAAAAATGTAGATCTGTTACACACAACATTAATAGTTACTAAATGATATATAAAAATTGATGCATTAAAATAGCATTCACATGCAACTTTTACACAGTGTATTTTATTCTTTATTTTTGGACCATGACATGATTCCTTTTACATAAAATTCACAGCTACTTTTAAGGGTACATATCATCTTGCATACAATATGCAATCTAGCAAATATTTCATTTTGCATGATGAAGTTTAACCAACTAAAGTAAAGAATCCAGACCAACTATGTAAACACGTCTTTACTTCTAGATTAAAAAAAAAAATTGGTATGCTCTTCTGATTTACATTTCTAAAATATGTTTCTTGCAAAAAACGCATTCAAGGAGCTCTGGAATCCAGCAATGGATTGTGTATAAACATTACACTTTTATAGCATTGTATTATGACAGATTAAGGATTTTTTATTATCACTGTTCACAATTTATGTTTTTAGTATTTTGCATTCCAGTTTCAGCAATAACAACTGGCTTTTGTTCTCAAAGTGGGTGAACATACAGCTCAGATGGTTGTCATTTAGACATCTATCCTCTTGATCCTGATCTGCTAGCTCTGAGATGACGCACACAATTGGTTTCACAGTTTTCAATCCCACCATGTAGGCTGTCTGCAGATTTAAAATAACAGTAGGAGGCGACTTTGAATTTGACTACATTTCAGTCAGAAGACCAGCAACACTTTTTTCAGATTTAATTTATTGCCTGGCAGTATGAGCAGTGCAGGACTCTTATATGGTTAACTGGTATTAACAAGACTTTTGTTTTTGTTAAGTGTATTTTCTAAATCATTGTTTGGTCAAAACTAAAAATGTGTCTTTTATTCTGGTGAAGCTCATCGTAGTGTGAACTGTAAATTCGCAGATAGCAGGCAGACAGGCCATAAGGTCTTAAAGGAGTGGTGCCAACAATGGTGCATACTTATAAGTTAAACAAAATACTGTGTGCAAAAGAAACAAAAATTCACCTCCTGCTAGCAATGTTGATGCATTATTAGTGGTATAGCTGATGATGGAAGGGGGGGGGGGGGAGGAGGGATGAAATTTTGGATTTATAATTAAGATTGAATTTATTAAAAGGAACATTGTTAAAACTGAACAGTGCATTGGTAAAACCTTATTTAGAATATTGTGTACAGTTTTGGTCACTGCATTGCAAAAAAGATATTGGTGGTCTGGAATTAGTCCAGAGAATAGCAGACTGGTGTTAAAAGCATGCCTTACACTGATAGGTCAAAAGAATTGAAGCCTTTTAGTCTTTAACAGAAGATTTTGAGGGAACCTGATCCAAGTATTCATAATCCTCAAAAGCATTTCCAAAGTTAAACCAATGGACTTCTCCTGAATAAAAAAGTGAAACACAAAGCAGGGTTTGCAAGTGAAAGCGATGAAGAAGGTGCCTTTTAAACTGAGAATAAGGGCACTTATTCTAAAGAAAAGGCTGGACCCGATTCACAGATCAATTAGTTACTAGCTATTAAACAGGCTAGATGGACTGAATGACCTCTTATTTGTAGCCTTTTTTCTATGTTTCTGAGCTTTAATTGTGAAGGAGTGTTTCTACTGAGTTTTTTCTAAATTAGCAACATGATCTGGGCTAATGGTTTTAACTTAGCAGTTGGTAGAATTGATCAAATAACATTAAAATATTCAGGTGAATGATGATTACCACAAAAACTTAAAGAGTGAGTGCACGTGTGTTCATTTCTCTGAAAATGAAACAGTTTGGCAAAACCTAATGGAATTTAATCACAAATACAATTCCTTATCTGGTCTTTTTGGGCCATATATTTACAGATGTTGCTCAAAAGTGTTTTGAAGTAAAAATTACCCTCTCAAATTTGTGGGTATACTTTAATTGGAAAATACTGAGATCTCAGGTTTAACATGGTGGGAGAATGTAAATGAAGAAAAGAATGTAAAATATTATTTTAACAAAACCAATGGTCAACAAAAAGAGCCTAGCATGCTGTTGAGGAAAATGTTTATTTATCATAGGTTATATACTTACCGTATTAAACAAAAATGTAAAAGACTTAAAAAACTGTTTTAAAACAACATCTGGTTTATGTGCCAAGTTCTGAATGATCACTATGCTTATGTGTTATATGTGATCATTGTGGTCCCATTATTGACTGCAATGCAATATGTGTTTGATTAAATAATAATAATAATAATGTATTAACAAAAAAACTCTCCTTAATTTTATCTATCTTATTAAAGAGCTGGGTTTTGTATTTAAATGTACCCTTCATGTTTATGTTGCATATGTATAAGAATTAATTTACATAATAAATAATATTTATGCTATTTATCAGGCATTCTGTTAGCAACACCAACTGCACACAACACTATATTGGAAATATTTTTTCTCAATTTTCCTTGTGAAAGTATACTTGTACAATTTCTTGCAAAGCTTGTGTTTCAGTCCCCTGTTATATTTTCTTTCAAAAACAGAATCTGTATTGCAGATTTGTCATACTGAAAGAATACTCTGCACTTCCCCCTGCATAACACAACAATTTTGAACTGATGGCCCAGTATTTTGCCCCCCTTACGAAAAGCTCTATTACTGTATATTTGGGATATGCATTACCAAAAATCCCATTAGTAGTGTAGAACTGAAGAGAACTCAAACTATTAACATTTATATGCAGCTCAGTTTCCTGATTCCTTTTCAGCTATTCAATCAAATTTAAACATAGGGGAAAGGAGCCTTGTGCGTCACAGAAATCCATCCACAGGAACAGCAAAGTAAAGTGGTTTCTTTACAGAAAGCACAACCATTGCCACACTATAATTGTGTCTTGTGTAAGTTAAAATATATATTATTGAACAAATTACTTTCACTATTTATATTTTATACAAAAATAATATGAATTAAAAATGTATTTGTTGGTCCGTGTCCCTGACACTTATGTATTTGAGTTTAGTAATGTAGCTGTTCATAAATGATTCATTCAGACCATAATAAATCATCACATTCAATCCTAGTACATATACAGGTTTTAAAAAAGTACAGATATAGTTTGGTTCAATATATGCACACAGTATGGTTTTCAAAGACAAATGGATGTATATGTTTTGGGGTTAAATTGTACCCACTTGTCCATGGTGAAGGCCTGTTAAAGTCTCACTTTATAAAGCTCACAACAGATTTTAAAATATTATCCAAAATAAGTTAGAAAACATCTTCAAATAAGAGTAACAAAATGAAAATAAAAGTAAGAGAATGTAAAAGTTTGTCCCCTTTGGGATACAGTAGTATTTGTGGGAAAACTGATAGACATTAGAATACAAATTAAACTATGTTATGTTAAACACTTTTAAGATAGAACTCTGTTGAATTAAAAAATAAAACATTCCTTTTGCAACAAGCTTAATATTTATCAGAATCGGAAGAGCTTATTTAATTGAATTATTAAAAAAGACTAACTCATAATGTGTCGGACGTCATCGAACTATTGCTTTATGAAAAAAACAACTCTGCACAGATCTTAAAATCATCAGCTATGAAAGTTAATTTAAATATAGTGCTCTTAACAAAAAAAGTTTTTCATTTCAATCAGAAATAAAAATATTGTTTTTTGCGTATGCTAATTTAATTTATATGTAGACCAGTATTTTAAGTCTTGATCCACCTGAGAACAAGCCAGAATTTTAAAACTATCTCGATGAGGGTTTCCACAAACATTTTCAGTACTTCAAAAGAGCTTTGTGTTGACGTTTCAAATGAGACATGCAGAGATTTTACATATGTGATCCAAAACACTTTGATGAAGTTTCTCTTACACTCGGGTCATTCTTTTCAGATTCAAAATATAGTTAGTTACCATCCATTTTAAATGGTGTTAGTTTTAAGTTTTACTCATGTCTTGAAAATGGCAATCATTTCTCTAACAGCTGAACTATCAAATGAATAAAAACCAAAAAAAAAAGTTATGTCAAATATAGATCTTGCTGTTGAATATTTACAGAAAGTCTAGTCCAATTATTGGTTTCCATCATTTTGTTATGGAGACCAGTCAAAAGGTTCACATACAGTATGAACGCATGGTGGTATTGTCAGTCCTTTCCATTGAATCATTGTAAACATCTTCACCAATGCAATGACTTAGATTATATTGCATTCATTTCCAGTTGAGTTTCTTTAAAAGTCTACTTGGATGAAGTCTTTAAAATGTGACTATTATATCAGACACTCCTTGGGGCCCTGTCGACTTCATGGGTCCTCCTGTTTCTGCCCTTCTTGTTTTCTTGAAGGTGTTTCCATTTGTTGGTGTGTGCTTGGGTATTGGCAGCTTTCTGTCTGCGTTGCTTCCGTTCCCTTTTCCACACCTGCTCACAAAATTCATCCATGGTGTTCAGGTTGGGATGGTTGATAAGGGACATGAAGTCTCTGTACCAGACCTTCTGGTTAGGTGGGACAATTCCATGGCCCTCCTTTGGCTTCACGCTTTCACCCTCTTCGTCTTTATGAAGCAGCTCTTCCAGGTGTTCTGTGTCAATTACCTCCAGCGTGACCTTGACCAAAATCTGAATGAATCCATGCTCTACAGCATGACAGTAGTAGATTCCGGAATCTTTTTTCTGAAGGCTGCGAATGAGAAGGCCTTGTTCTGTTCTTATGAATCTTTCCTCTGTTTTTATCTGCAATTTGAATAGAAATAAAACATTAAAGCAAATTAAAAATAATAATTAGTAGTTCAGGTGGGTAGCTGCGTCGGCATGCGTAGGCTGCAAAGGAACAAGTAATAGGTTTATTCCATGCTGAAAAAAAGAAGAAAGAGAACACAACGTTTCGGCTGTGGAGCCTTCTTCAGGTGTGCACACTTTCAGGCACACATGAAGAAGGCTCTACGGCCGAAACGTTGTGTTCTCTTTCTTCTTTTTTTTCAGCATGGAATAAACCTATTACTTGTTCCTTAATAATAATAATGTTGCTTTATTAGCCCTATACAATTTCTTGCATTAGGAATTTGTCTTTTTGCATACCCCAGCTCCATGAGACACAGACACAAACAGGGAGAGAAGCTTGGGGTCAGAGCACAGGGTCAGCCATAGTACAGTGCCCCTGGAGCAGCTGGGGTTAAGGGCCTTGCTCAGGGGCCCAACGGAGTAGGATTCCTCTGCCGGCTGCTGAATTTGAACTGGCAACCTTCCAGTCACAGGCACAGATCCTTAGCCACAGAGCCACCACTCTGCCCCATTGTAGCCATTATAGGCTTCAACTGCCATTGTCATGTGATGGTGTACAGGTGTTCAAATGAATTTTGTATTAACAGAATATCGTAATCAATGATGGATGCTCATAGCGGTAAAAGTGGTTCAAAAAAGTTTTATGTTCACATCATATCCATTGAGGCTTAAAAACCCAAGACAAACATTTTTCATTTTCTTAAACTAATAGTACCCTTAATGTATTTTCATCACATTCACGTAAGGTTTTATCCCAACTTGCCACTGCAAATCCCTTGACACCAAGAGATATACAAAAAGGACATAATGCATCTTGTAACAACAGGAAGGAAAAATCAAACAATCATTCTGTGCAAATTCTAGAAATCTGGCTTTAGAAAAATCCTAAGCCCATGCTGACCATTTTTAATGAAATATTGAGAGAGACAAATATTTGATGATCCCAGGTGACTAATTACATAAATTTAGGGTAATGGATCTATAGCTGAGGTGTGGTTATAATCAATTGTCAGTGTATGTTTCTCTTTTGAAACTCAGGGCAGTTGTATTCTATAAAAAGTACTACTGTACATGCTGTCAAAGTAAGTAACATTTTTAACAGTGCTCTATATTTCTGAGTGGAGCAAAGTTTTAATCATTAGTCAAAAACATAATATTGTACAGGTAGGTAAAATACATGTATCATAAAATTTAATTTTAAACTGGCAAATGAAAGTGAAGTTTATTTAATGTTATATGTGCCTAACTATTGCTACAATTATAGCTATTGTGATCATAAAAATTTAATTTATAAGAACATCTGAAGTAGTTTAAGAAAGGGAAATTTGATTTACCTCATTTTTCTGATCCTCATTCTGTTTCTGAAATTGCCAGTAGACCAGAGAACGCTGAGATCTGGGACTGCACTCCAAGAAAGTGCTGCTGTTTTCCACTCCATAAATAATCTTATCTTCCAGTGTCCCTTGGCCATTTAAGTCATCTACCAGAATAAATAAACGCAATTCCATTTTACATCTCTAGTCACTTTTTCTAGACTGTACAATACATACAGTAGATATCTGACCCTGCTAGAATGTGGTAGAATTATGTTAGAATGTGAAAGGGATTAATGCTACTTGGCTCTAAAATCGATACTCTTTTACTCTGCCTTTTGACTTATGTCTAAGTCACTGCATGGCAATTGGTGCAATGGACTATAGTGGTAAAGTGTATTTATGCCATAAAAGTATGCATGAGGGAGTACAATGAAGCAGAATTACTGTCTTGTTTCCATAAGGGTAGGTAATAGATTCTTGTGAGGAACATTGACAAAGATTTTGGTGTTATAATCCATCTTCTGTGAATTAAAGAAAAAGGCACAACTAGGAAGGCCTTGTTAGTGTGATTGTTACTTTACTGAAGACATGTACTGTAGGTGATACTTGACCATTCACAATTCCTGAAACAGGTACTATACTTTGTCAAAAAGGGAATTGCTGGTCTCTTTGTGCCACATTAAACTACTGCCTTGCTAAAGGTTAATAGCTGCACTGTATTTCATTAACATTTTGTCAGTGCTTTTTATGGATTCATAAATAAGACATATGAATTAAAACATGGATGTCTCTTTATCTATGACAAGTCTCTGTAACTTCTAGTACCTGTTAAGCTGAGAGAGCCTTTTAATAAAATCAAAGTATATTGTTTTCTTACAAATAGATATACTGTATATTTTTCCTTGATTTGCACAGATTGTCTTCTGGTGTTTTTTAAACATATTCCCTTTGTCAGATACTAAAAAGACACGAGAAACAGTTCACAGTTTCAGGTTTACAGATTGTAATTAAACCAGAGCTTTAAATTAGGTTCATTTAGAAGACTTTTAATCATCTAGAAATGAAAAACCATAGCAGAGAGAACATTACATGTCTTCATAAAACAATAGAAATGCTGTTATTCTGAAGCTTTTAGATTAAATCTATTAGATTTAGATTAGATTAAATCTTAAATTACTGTGGATTTTTGATCTGCCAGCTGTCACCATTCTGAAAACTAAAATTCCAGAAATGCACTTCTCTATTGTTTCTAGGCTCCAGTCATCTTGAATGCCATTTTTAAGGTACCAGGCCACATTTTAGTGCTCAGTCAGTTTTAGTTTACAAAACAACAAGCTGATCCTCAAGCCTTTCATGAGAAATCAATGTGTGGTCTGCACAGTGTGGGTGGCTGGAAACTCTCTTTTTTATAGACAATAAGGAAAGAATATAGAACGACAAATAGCATGTTGGGAATTTGAATAAAGGGCATACTTAACAAATAGAAAACTCAGGAGTCTCCTTGCACATTATGACTGCCAATTAATATAAAAGTTAATAAAACCAAAACAAAAAAATGGATGCATTTGAGAAAGCTTTTTAAAAGTATTCAAAATTAATTGTCTCCTTAAAACAAAATATGAAAATTCAATTAATACATAGGTCTTCAAGGATTCTTGAAGGACTCTTTTTGTTTAATACTTAATACTAATATTAGGAAAGAGAAAAACATAACAACTACAACCTTAAATGACTCAGAGTTAAGCAAACATTTCCCCATAACTACACATACAGAAAAATAAAAGATTAAATTAACAGATGAATCCAATATATAAACACAAAACATTATCAAGCCTTGCTCAATAGACTTGATTTTCCTCTTCCTGTGTAACAATGGGTCAAAATTAAACATTTTAAAGAGGAGAATTTTACCATGATGTTGTAAATCTGAACACTGTGTGAGAGGGTCCCCATTTCTGATGTCTTGTCGTCGCGTTCGCCTGAAATCAAATGATAAAAACTAAATATTTAATGGGTATACTAATTAATGACATATCACACTAATTTGTGATTATTTTTTCATGTTACAAACACATTGTTTTGTCTTACTAATTGCAAATTACAAAATGCAAAAACTGATGTTCAGTCCAGTAGTCAAGGGTATTCTGTCTTAGAATGTAAACCTTGAAGGTTTTTAGCTACAATCCATTTTTTTTGTTTGCGAGACAGAAAGGACATACCACAATGAACAAGTACAATAGAAAAAATGAATCAATTGCAACTGCTTTATTGCCTACAGTGAAATCTATCGACAAAGCAAATAATTGATAATGTATTTTAGATCCAAGGTCAATGGATGCCATGCTTTGCTTCTTCTCTCTAGTTTGTTTCATCCATGAATTCACCCAGTTTGTAACTTTAGCAGATTGTAGCAGAGGTTCGATGATCCAATCGATACATGGAAGCAGAGCTACTGGCTTCTTTTACAGGGTAATACTGCACTCATCAAGAAGTCACAGAGCATTGTGGAACAAAAGTAACACGAAGCCATGCAGCAGACATTAAAATCAATAACCCAATGAAGCACAAACTGGTAGGAGGGCATTTAATTAAAATACTGGCAAACTTTTTTGTGTGTGTTCGCTTTAGGTAAAATACCAGATATAATTTTGTTACAAAGGGTAATATTAATGATAAAACATACTGCTCTGCTTTTCCATGCTGCAAAATTGTACCTCAAGATTTAGCTTTAGGGAGCATTTATCTCAGATGTGCATCCTGCATGTGTGATTTTACTATTTTCTTCTAAAATAGAGAAACATGCCCATGTATTTTGTGTAACTGAAAGCCAAAGTAGGCTTTAGAAGTTTCTTTTTACACTATATTTATTATATGTTCTATATTTACTGTTTTTTTATGTTCAGTGAGAAAAAAACAAAAGATTCCTTTTTATAAATCTTATGAAAAGATACTGTACAGTAGTTCTGTTTTGGTTCTCTTGTCATTTTCTTCAAAATCACTGCTGAAAACCGAAAGCATAAAATTGTTAAAATTATTTATTTTTTGTCGTTTTGTTTGTTCTGATTTTTTTATTGTACACAAAGTTTAAATAAGTAAAACATCTATTTGTTCTTGATGTTTCAGAAAAAAAGTCCTTCATCCTTTAGCTCTAAATTATTTCACTACAGGTACTTTATACAACAATGCCTGTAAGTATAAATTGCTTTCAAACATTTCCTGACAAATTATTTTTGTCTGGAATGCAGTTACTGTCCTGGTAGCAAAACAAGCAACACATTAAGTGTCTCTTGAGTGCCAGACCTTTTCTATAAAGTCATCTTGGCATGTGAAAATCTTCTGAAAAACAGATTTGCCTGTGTTAAAAAGGTAAAAAAAATGACTTATGGAAAAGAGGAAATTAGTTTATCTAAAAGAATCTCCATAATCCACCGTGAAGTGATAAGATTTACACGTCTGGAATGTTAAACAATGCAGATGTAGGAGTAACTGTGGCATGGATTTTAATGTGCTTATTTTTATTTGTACTTTCTGACAGGTGTGGAATACCAGAGATTTTGTTTTCTATTAGACAAATTAAAAGGAGGTGATGTTCCATGAAAGCCAGAACTGCTTCCTAATGAGCATTTTTTAATCATCTAAAAGACTTGAACATTCAGGGCTTGATTGATCATAGCACCACCATTGTTAAATAAATCACAAAAACCTGCCCTTGTAAAGCTGTCTTTTGTTTCTTAACAAGTTGAAGAAATATATTCAGATGTGAACACACATCTGAAGTACCTTGCAATGCCTAATAAAATCCCATTTAATGTTTTCATTATGCTTTGAAAGCCCTTTTGGCATACTCAAAGAGGCATTGTGTAGATCTAAGAAGCATGTATATTTTTTTAGTAGTTCAGTTTTTGTTTAGTTCCATGAGATAATTATAAGAATGTAACAGACAGATATACAGTCATAATCCATACAGCTAAAACATAAGTAAAATGTAAAAGGGATTTAAAACTTCATAAAAAAAACTCATTTTACATTTAAATCAAACAAGACTAAATGCAACTACTTTTGTTTATTTTATGGTAATACATAAAACTATTTGCATGACATGTCCAAATGTAAACTGCATGGATTAAAACCCACATTTTGAAATAATAAAGATGGGATGAAAAACAATTATTACTGAAAAAAATCAGGAGATTAAACTGTCTGTTTATGCTAATATCTTAGATACGTTCCCGCATTATGTGCTAATTATACAATGCGAGTTTGGATTATGTTCTTTGGTCTTTGGCCACCTTTTTAAATCACTCCTGTTCTATAACTCATTGTTGCCTAGAAGTTGCCTAGTGTGCCTGGCAAGTAGCAACTGCTAGGAAAAGGGTACTGTAAGTATAGCTTTCTCTCTCCTGTTAGAGCCAAAAAGCAAGTGGAGACTGAGGTTGAGGTAATTTCGGGAGCTGTTGGTTTCAGGTGTCTAAAAATAAACCCTTTTCATTACCACCCATTGCCTGTGGCTGAATATAAATAAACAAATAGGTTACTACTTTTTAAACCAGTACATGCAGTATGTTGAAATGGCATCTGTAATGTTACAGGAACCTTTGGTAATGCATTAAAATGACCCGCCTGTCTGAAATCTTTTCTGTTTAAACTAAGCTTTTGCTTAATTTTTTTTAATAAACATTCTTTATTGTATTCTAGCAGGACTCTGTCGTCTGTTTCTCATGTCTCTGTTTAAGCAAATATTTTGTAAAGATATTTGGCACCTCCTGTAGCACAGTTTGAATATGTATTCCTTTGATTACCAAGCCTGGTTTAGATTCCAGAACTCAGCAAGTCAGTTGTACCTCTTTGCAGTGGGGAAGTATCGGGAACATTCAGTACCATCCCAGGCACAGTAGGGGTCTCTTGCTAAGCAACACTCTGCGCACGCCTTCCCATAGACATCACAGCGGTGCAAGGGCATCTGTGAAACTCCAATGGCTGAGCCAAGATAGAGCTGTTGCTGTAAAAGCAGAAAGTTCAGTGAGTGTTTAAATGTCCTTAATCAAAATGTAAGTTTTACAAACCTTATAAATAATAAAGGAGAATGCAAGAAAATGTATTCCAGTGGTCTGTAGTTCATACAAGAAACAAATTTCCCGTTTTCATTTTGAGTCTTTACACTATTTTGAACAGATTATAAAACATCATTCTTCTGACGCATGGATTTCTAAAATATTTTTGCTTCATTTATTTAAAGAAGTAATTCTTAATTCCACCACATTAACTGCATTTTACAATGCAAAACTATAAGATGCTGTAAGATAAGATGCATAGCCAGTAATGCCAGTTATGCAATACTTTATATAAAGAAATTAAAGTGGTTTTATGAAAATGTTTATTAAACATATTTCAGGAGGCAAATACATCTTCTACTTTATTTATATTTGTGATCTTTATTTTTGGTTTTAAAATGTGCAGTCAATTTTTGATCTAATAAGATAAAAACTAGCATTTTTTTTTCATGTTTGTGCCGATAGCTCTGATCATTTTTTTGGTTCCCATGGGAATTCTTCCAGAATTCTTTTTTCAGATTAAAAAAAAAAGAGAGCGCCCAGTGGAAACCCACACAAACAAGGGAAAACAAATACAAACTCATACTAACATACAGATAGCATCCCATGTCCAGAATTGAACCCATTTATATTGGACCCCAGAACTGCAATGCCAGAATAGTAACCACTGCACCACCATGCTGCCCCCACACTGATATACAGTACATTAACAGGATTGATTAGTACTAGAAAAGAATGAAAAGCTTAATGCCAAAAATAATGTAATGTAAAACTATTAAGTACATATTCAAAACTTTAAATTATTGAATTTAAATTCAAATCTTTGAATTTAAACAAATACAAAATCAAGATTAAATTTTAAATTCAAGGAATTCTTTGCTAAATGTACAGTACAGTATGATCTCTTCATCTTTAGTCCCTTCCTTAGTTTTTCTGTGTGGTTGGAAAGGCACGTTCCTGATGGAAAGGAAATAACCCTTCTGCTAGATTTTTATTAGGTTTTCAGAATTCATTATTCTTCATGAACTTCTGAGAATCATTTTTGGATTACCAATGTGCATGGCCTTATCTTATCTGTAGTGTTTCACAGCTGTTTGCTGACACTTTTGCTTTGTAGAGCTTACAACATAAACAGATCTGTCCAACAGTACATTTGTATGTCAGAAGCTATGCATCATTAAAACTTATCAAGCTGTCTGTTGACAACAAGTGGCTTCTACAGTAGTTTAGTCAAATTGTAACCATGATGAAACAAGCCAAAGAAAATAAAGGAGTAGTGCACTTAATACTTCAGAGTTAACTTGTCTGGCTGAGGAAGTGACAGTGTTGGCCAAAAACCAGTGCTATCCCAATCTCCCTCACTTCTGAGGAATGACCTGGGAGGCAGCTGCAATGGTGAAGCTGGGGTGGAGGGAGGGAGATTAGAAAATATGGGCAAAGAATTGTGTGCAGCCAGGAAGTATTTATTTGTAGGAGAATGGTAGTGCAACATTAGAATTTGCCCTCCTCCTGAACATACTGTATGTTAAAAAGACAATTTTTGTGCTCCATGGCCCACAATTTTACACTGTTATTTTTCATATTTTTGTTATTTCTTTTGAATGCATTTTATATATAGGGCCTTGATCAGACATCAGTAATTTAATTCATTCCAATTAACCCGTAACTTACCTGTTTTGTTGAGATGTCCATTGCTGTAATGGCAGTAGGTTCCTGTAATGAGGTAAACAACAAAATCCTTTGTTTTTCAAAGACAAACTCTGTGTGTTGATGACACTTATATAGTGCTGCTTGGATGCTTTTAATATAAAAAAGTAAATGAGACCTTTCCATTCTCTTTAAAGTGTTTACAAGTTTGCATTCCGACATAATATTACCAGTAAATGGAATTAAGTATTTTAATACCAATGTGGAAAAGTCTGATTAAATTAATGCATATGGATCACACACAAACCAATATGATTTTCTTCCCTTTGTTTCTCTGAAATGTACAGTATATTACATCAGTTTTCAATTTTGCATTATATGTAAAAAACTACTGTATAATAATCTCTCATATTTCTCAATTATTAATAGCAATTTTGTTTCTTATTTTTAAGCTGCTGGATTTGGGGATTTGTCTGTTTTAAGATGAAACACAAACAAAGCTTTCAATACTAATAAAAAAGGAAATATATATACTTTTAAAATTCATTGCACCTGTCTTGCATTGCCTGATGATTTATGTTCCAGCTTACCTTGACCTTGAATTGGACAAAGTGGTTATTGAAATTGGATGCATTGATATTTACTGCAGTCATGCCCTAAAATTTCACAGCTGAGCTGAAATGTAAAATACATGTTCTGAAGGGATATATGGTAAAATGTTTGTTTTTTAAAGTTAGTACAGGTATAATTAATATATAATATATGTTGCTCACTCCGGAAGCAACCTGAAAATACACACTAAATGGGACACATGTCCATCACAGGGTGCATGTACACACACAAGTGCACACAGGGACAATCAGAGAACTGTGAGGCAGCATCACTCATCTCTATGCCACTATTTTCAAATACATACACAGAAATATACTTTCCAGCTGATGAAACTTCACTGCAGTGTGCTTTGTATAATACTTATGATTGTCTGTTTTATTTCTTAATAACAGTGCATGCTTGAAGGAACAGTTACAACTGCGATGAGTCTATTTGTCTCACCTAACATGTTTTCTTTCAGTAGCTAATTCATCCAAGGATCTCATACAGCCAACTTTTCTGTATGAAGGTCATTCTGACATGAATCAGAATGAGCTTCATGTCCTACTTTTAATATGTTATTTTTACTCAGAAGACCCAAACCTCATATAAAGGATCCCCATTATAGCCTTAATGACTTGCATATTGTAATGACATAAGGCCCTTTTCACTCATCATCCCTCATTGCTTTTCAGTTACTTAAGGCAAGAAATGTTATTTTTTGAATGGTATGTCCTTTTGAGTGTAGTCCAAACTGCAAAAGTAAACATGTAGGAGCCAATGCAGATTATCAGGAATTTGAGTCTGCTGAGCAGAATTATTGTGAAAAGAGTTCTTCGCTAACAGTCATTATTTAAAAAATAAACTTACTCTGAAAACAGTCACTTCCTCCAGTAGCACTTCCTCCAAGTCATGCCAGGTCTCCTTAGGAATTGATACAACTTTCAGAACTGTGCCAACATCTTCAAAACATAAAAAATACATGGATTTTATAGATTCATATCAAAATGTAAGGAAAGGAATAAAGTCTCTAAATATCAGGTGTACACTAGTAGGTTCATTCGTATCATGCAATGGATGTGGTTAAGTTGATGAAAGCCTTTGGAAAAAATGTTGAGTATCAGAACATGAGTAATACAGGCTTGAATGTAGATCATTTCAAGGACTTTCTTAAATCTGCTTTATTCCTTTTTGTGTTAATCTGTTTAAGGTGGTATTTCATCACAGAAAGCAAACGTGTTTACTTTGTATATATCACATATACTGTAAAATGACAGATCAAACTTCTGTTTTTTGTAAAATATTTGCCAGACACAAACTTCAATCACAATCTGCTCTGCTTAAATAAATTGTATAATTTATTAATTTAGAGTGTATGCTGTTTGCTTGTATTAATACAATTATTAGCACCTGTTCCAATGAACATGACATCATACTGTCCATCTTCTGCATCCACTCTGTCCACAACTATCTGAGTTAATTGGTAGTCAACATCGGTCTTAATGATAATTGGCCGGTTGTTTATTGGATGAACAGGGTTGTACATGGCTGGGTGACTTCTTGCAAAAGTTATGACATCATCCGGAAGATCCTTGGTTGAATAAAATCCTCCAAATGTCTTGCTGGGACACTACCAAAAAAAAGTCATTTTTGTATATACAGTATGTGGATTTGAACACACAAATAAAAGAAAACATATTACATTCAATGTAACTTTCTTCTTAAAATCAATTTAAAAACATTATACAACTCATTAATAAGATATTAGTAATTTAACTTCATAAATCTTTGTATTAAGCAATACAAAACTGCATTAAATTAGGTTTCATACTGTCTTGCACTCACAGTCCCTGGGCGTGGATATGGCACCCTCCCCTGAAATGGTACCCACTGATAGTTGGGACCTTCTCTGTGGGCATACGGTCCTAAAAACACTCTCCGCACATCAGTCATGCTGTACATGCACACCGCTGACCCCTTGAAGATGTTGCTGAAGGAAATACAATCAATCTATTAAAGTCATTAAGTGTAAGACTTAATTAAGTGAAAGATTAATCTATCTGATAAATTGCCTACTTTATACAATTAGCACCACATATTGATTAAGACAGAGTGAAAAATGAGTGTGTTAACATTTGCCTAGTAACTATTTAATTAACTAAACCACTGATTATTATCAACAGTTTGTGCCAGAAACTGCTGCAAAATCTCTGGAAATAAAATGCAAATTCAAGCAACCAAAAGGCAATTTACCTTAAAATTGAGAAAGTCAATAAAGCTTTTTCATTGTTTGTTGGTACTTTAAATTTAATTGTGGAAATTAATGCCAAATTAAATTTATTTTTCAAATGTGATTTTGGAATAATTTAATTAAACTGTTTCTCAAAATTCTCAATAAAATTTAAAATATTATTGAAGCGTGCATCTTGAAAAACATTCTATAACAAATATAAAAAACATTATACCACAAGAGTAAGCCTGATGCATTTAGAAATATCTTATTTTTTAATGTCTCACATTTTGATAAATACTTCAGCAGTAAACATCGCTCCTGTATCCTTTAGTTGTGCAGTTGCACATGCTGTACATTGATCCTTAGTAAATGCAGTGGCTGTATCTAGGAGGAGACTTGTGTTTCATGTTAACAAGATTTTCTTTAGGCCAGATTGAAACTTGAATAAAGAGTACAGCTATTAGAGCTGACAGATGGCTAAAATAATCTTTTTTTTTCCATTTCTGGTAAAGTGAGGTCAAAGAAATAGCTGCAGGTAAATGTATTAGAAAACATTTGTGAAATGTACTGATGCAGGACAATTGCACAATTGCAAAAAAAATGTTAGGTCAGCTTTTCTGAAAATGAAAAGAAAAATCTTGGCTGATTCTGATTCTATTATTAAAGGAAATAAACACAGGAAATGTGTGTGCCTTTCAAACAATCCTAGCAAAATGGACAGGTACCTGGAGGTTGTAAAAACAGCATATATAATTGGATTCTTGGGATCCTTTGAGCTCATCAGAAAGACATCCTCTGAAATCAATGAAACATTAGTTCAGAAACATACAGTATATGTTAGTATACAGATAAATAATTTACAGTATATTACAACAAAGACTTGATACATACGTAATTCATCAAAGTGTGTGTCAATGCCATTGGAACCTGGTACAGAACAGATTAATCGCGCTTTCAGGAAGGTGGTCCATTTATTAACAAGGCTTCTGTGACCTCCAAAGTCATTCTGTAAGTAAATAAAATAAATTAACTTGCTTTTAATGCACAGTAAACCAATATTATTATTTTTTGCCTAGTAAACATATTATTATATTAATATATAATAATAGTGAATATTTTCCTCTGTATAGATTAAATACTTTAAGTGTTGGACACTTAATAGTAATACTATTTCATCTACTACAGTTTCACACCTCTGATGTGTTTTATGCTATCATTTAAAATATAATAATATTTAATTAGATGTTGTGCTTAACGAAATCCTATTAATTTTGCGATAATGGCATTTTTGTGCAAATGGAAGAAATATTTTTTGTAAAGAGAACGTAATTGCTTTACTCTTACTCTCAGGAAAATGTAGTTACTACAATATACACAGTTTGTTTAATTAAATACAGGCATTCTGTCACTTTAATTTAGTCAGTTAAAAGAAATGCAAATTGGGAGGATAAATTAAATGTTTGCATAATGGTGCACTTTACGTTCTACAGTAATTAGGTGATAGAAACTATGAACCTGCTAGAGCATTCAGTACACTGCTTAATTCTGTGTATTATTCACTGGAAAAGGCCCAGTAAAGTCAATCTCACTATTAACTGATTTTTAAATATACAGTATGTAAGAGATTATAAAAGGAATATATCAAACATGCTGGTTTGGCATACAATAGTTAAATCAAAAAGGAAATGTATAGAATGTAAGAAAATGTAATTTTACTCTAGTTGTATTAAACCTTTAAATCCTAATAAATATTTGATTAAAATCAACACTTTTATTTTCCACATCAAACAATATTAGGCAAATCAAATTATTTTTTTTACAAATGCACATCCTGCATAATCAGCATATTTTCTTACTGTGGATTACTGTGGTTTAAGAATCCATGGCATCCACAAGAATCCATCCACAAGACATTTCAAAATACTAGTGATACTTAAAATTTGGAATGAATTTACAGTATATCCTTTACAGGGTATAAAATCACCCCTCAAACATAAATGAGTGCCAACAACTCATGGGGTATTTAGAGTGATAATCTTTGGTATTTTTATGAGGCCTTTGCTGAATGTAATATGCTCTTGTATCCCTATATCTTGATTTTGCACTCATAAAACTTTGATCTATAGCAAGAAAAGATCTTGTTAGGTGGACGAGGAAAATCAAGATGAAATGACTTTTTGCAATGAAAATCTTGAGTAGCACAAGCACAAACTTTATAGGCAGATTTTATTTTGCTCACACCATATTCCTTAAGTTTTTTTTCTTACTGCTGTGGAGGTTCAAAATCAGCAGCTGGCAATTAAATCACAGCTGCAGTGTAAGATGAGCGGGTCTTCACTTAACAGCATAGGCTGGTCTGTACTGGTGTTCAGTTTCTTCAGCTTAGAGATTCTTCATGAAGCCAAAGATTATACACTGTATTAATGCAGGGATTTTGAAAGGTTTCTGCATTCTTACAATATCTTTTATGTCAGCTGTAGGACTGAAAGAAGCAATCTGGTTTAAGAACCATATTGAATAACAGCACAAGGTTAAATTAAAAAAAGGACAGAAACCGTATTGAAAAACCAAATACCTAAAGTACTTTTAAAGTGGTACCTGTATAAAGAGGTAAACGATGTCTTTTAAAAAAAGGCCTTTATTAAAAAAGGTCTTTTAAAAAGGTATAATTTCTAAGAGCAAAAAAGAGTCTACTTCTATACGTCTTCCTTCTATACAAGTAGAAATTGTGTTATTGTGAAAAAAATCTGTTACCTTACAGAGCTGCCCAATCCTAGCATGTGTTGCCTTTCCAGTGTGCTCTCCATCCATTGCATTTTCTCTGAAGAACAAGTAAATTTTGTCATCTTCAGGATTGTCACTCTCTGGAATCAGGTGGACACTCACAAATCTGGGATCTAAAAAGATATAGCAATATAGCAATCCATATTGTGAGAAAAATCAGGCAAATTCATTCTTAAAATGATATTAGAATTCTTTTGCACACAGTGACTACATTTTTATTCCCAAAAATCTAAACTTAGAACTAACACAAATAAATGTGTTGATATGTATAGTAATCACATTATGAATAGTGCAGTACCATTGAAAATCGCAGATGTGAAAGAATGTTTAGTGCAACCCTGGTCATGTTTTATTATTTTCACAGGATTTAGCATTAGTGCCTGTTACTAATATTCCAATTATACTTCAGATGTTTCCAGCAAACCAAAAAAACTGCTATCGAATACAAAATCTGTCATTTCTGACTGTCAGGTGGGTGAAAGTTTGTTTCCATCGTGGCTATAATCATGCAAAGCACCTGTTTGTACACTCGTACTGCTTATTTTTAAGGCTGATGAACTTTTCAGATTTCTGGAACAGACATGAACTTCCTTCTGTTTATTTTTCAGTGGCTTATTCTTGAATCTAACAGATTGGGGGCCTAGAATACTGCATTAAAAAAAGCAGTTAGCTCATAGCCTAAGCTGTCTTGGAGGGGGGAAAATGTTTCAAGCCTTCTGGGAAAGAACACAGAAAAATGCACAAAATGATATTTTGAAAAACATAAATGGAAAGATGTTTTGTTTTATTTTTCATCATATTCTAGCTTCAGGCTGAGGGAAATTGCAAAAATGTTTTACATACAGTAGTAAGTCTGATATGTTTTGATATCATTTGTTTCTCTTCATTTTCCAACAGGATGAAACAAATGTTAAAGAATCTGTTATTTCAATTAAAGGTGTTATAGAGAAATTTGGAAACAATTTCTTCATTTTCTTATTTCTTATTGTTCAAATGAGAATTCATATAAATACAATAAAGATATTATTTGTTCTTTGATATACAGTATGTGCATAATTGTAACAACCGTTACCATTAACATGTACTGTAAATTATACAAAGGTGTGATTAGTTGAAGTACAGGATGCAGTCTGAATGTAGATTGAAAGTAAAAAGTACCAGAAAACATAAAGAAAGACTGTAGATTGTGAGGCCAAACTGTTTATTAAATCTACTGTATGTTGTTTTGGTAACTTTACTGAACAATAAAATTAATTTCCACCTGTAGTTATTAATTATACAATCCTAACTCATAAACTGGTTTAAGTAGTATATCAGGAAGAAGTAAAGATTTATTCCATGCTGAAAAGAAAAACGTTTTGGTTGTGGAGACTTCTTTGGGTGTCCCTACTTGAACTAAATAGTCTATGAGCAGAGGTTGTGACACATAAAAACAGTGTTTGTGGAAGCTAAGAGAAAATAGATATACTGTACATACAGTATGACTAAGTTTTAACTAAGCTTCCAAATTCTTATTTTAATTTGTTAAGAACATACTGAGATACACAATATGATAAGTACTATGAGTAATACAATATTCAGTTCTGGAAAAGACAAATGTTTGCATTAGCTGCTCTCCATCAGACTAGGAGTACCATGTAGAAAATACAAGCAAGAAAGATTATCAAAAATACAAGACACCTAAGCAATATTGAGAACATGAGCCTTGAATGCAACGATGACTCCAAAATTCCTTATCTGAGCGTTTAGATGGAAACTAAAGTTAACACAGTTACAGAGCTGGAAACCCTATCTGCCTGAACCAAAATCAACTTTGGACTTCTGATGTAAACACAACTGTGAAAAGGCAGATATCTAAGATATAGAAATAGAACCTTGGGTGTCATCAGAGAAGAAATGAAACCTGATACCATATTTACAAAGGTAACACATAAATATGAAAAAATTGGGAACAAGAACAAAGCCCTATGAGAAGCAACATGCAAAGGGTTTTTAGAATGAACAATCAGTAAGATATGAAACAACCCTAATGATGCATGTAGTAATACCAACAGCCCTCTCTAAGCTATTCAGCAAATCAATTTTATGAATTTAGAAAGTTTTATTGGAACCTTTTTTGTACTTTTTACCAAATCCGGAGTGTTATCACATTTTGGGAATGCTGCTAACAGAAATAGCCAGGGTATGGCAATCAAGATCTGTCTATCCAACATCACTAGAAACTATTAGTAAGTGTCCCAAAGATTATTAATAGGCAGGGCTGGTGATCAACTCTGTTGTGATCACCTTTTGCAAGAACAAAATAATTTCCTTGAAAGGGTCACTTCCACATAACATGGACATGGCTCCTGATGGAACAGGATATCATGGAAGAATCATGAACCAAGCTGCAGTCATCAAAAGTGCCAGTAAATGTAATTTTATGATGCTGCTTCACAAAAATATTTTACTCCATTTTGAAAAGCAATACAGATTAAAACATATGGACAATTATACCGGCAATTGGTGGAGTTCCTGACTTATTTTCTGAACAACAACCCTTCTCTGTTGTTCACTTAGTGATATCAGAGTATGTACAGGATATAAAGTAGAAACTACAAATGAAAAGCATCCAGTTAACACGAGTACAGGTAATTTCAAGCACAGATAAAAAGGCGTATTAGGGAGACCACGACAGAGAATGGAAACTAAAATAAAGAATATTTTGTTTCAGTTATACAACACCAAACAAAGCAAGAAGTAATGGTCCCAAAGATAACAGAAAACTTTTATACAATAAAATCCACAACTTGCCCCAGGCTGAGGAAAGACATTATTACATATTAAGTAATATTAGTGTATAAGGGTCAGAAGTGTTACAAGTAGGAGACATTATTAAAGTAAACAGATCTGCAAGACCTGATAGTGTTCCAACAATTCTGCTTAAGGAAACAATAGGGGTTACTCATAGAATGCTAATACAATTCCTACAATAGTCACTTAAGACAGAGTAATACCCAATCACTGGAAAATTGCAAATGCAACACATAGCCATAAACATTGGTGATAAAACCTGAGTAAATCCAGGCCAATAGATACAGTATTTCTTCTGTTACATGTTATTATGGATCATCATGTAGCATTTGAATTCTAGGGACAGAAATTTAGATTTAGAAAAGGTAGGCATTGTTTAAACTTACTTGTCAGTTTGAACACGCAGCCATTGAACAAGTAGCAGTTGTAATGGATACACATACTATAGAGCATATGACATCATATAACCATTTATTTGTTAATAGCCTCAACCAATTCAGTGTTGCAGGAGGGCTGGAGCCTATCTCGGCAAGCAAAGAGCACAAAGCAGGGTCCTCCCTGGATGAGATGCTAGTCTATTGCTGGACACACACAGACACAGACAGGCCCACAGTCACACCAGGGCCAGTTTTCCCAGAAGCCAATTTACCAACCAGTATGTATTTGGACTGTGGGAAGAAACCCAATGCAGGGAGAGCATAGAAACTCCACGCAGACAGCATGAGGCTGAAATGTTAACCACTGTGCCACCCTGATATGATATATTTAAATTAAATAACAGTAGTTTCATAAAGTCTTCACACAATTCTCATATTACAGGCAGCTGACATCTGAGGAACTATTAAATGCATAGTAAATGGAAAGTGAATGGTTAAATTAGAGTGATGCAATTAATAGAGTACCAGTGGATTATGAATTAGGACCACTGCTCTTTTTTTATATCAATGATCAAGTCTCTGGCATTCACAAATGATATCAAATTAGAAAGACTGAAAAACATTGTAGGGGATGCAAAAGAAAATCAATCGTTTTTTATTTTAATTAGAAAATAGAGGACTGGACAAATGTGATGGAAATTTTAATATAAAACCTGAAGCATATTACATCAGTTTAGAAGAAATATAAACTCACTATACACAATGGGAAAACTGAGCTTAAAGAATTTAGCTGAAAAATCTACCTGGCGCATAATTTTCATTTCCTAGTCATACAGCTACAGAGGGGAATGGGCGTGATATAAAAAGGCAAACGTCATTTTAGAATATATAGTTTAGAGTTCAGAACTTGAATGAATGAATGCATAGTTAAAGTCGTACAATTCACTCCCAAGATTTCATTTAGAATATTGTGTCCACTTTTGTCACCTCCTTACAAGAAAGAGAGTACTGCTCTGGAATCGGTCCAGAGAAGAATTACCAGATACATTCCTAGGCTTACAGGAATGTCCTGCTATGATAGATTGCAAAGAATCGAATCTACAGTATTTACTATTAAATAAAAAGCAAGATTACCTGATTCAAATATTCCATAAAGGCATTGACAAAATCAATCTAGTGGACTTTGGAAACAACAATGAAATGTGAACCAAAGGACACAACTATGAATTACAGAGAAGCGCATTTAGAACTGAGAACAGAGGGTATTTCTTTACACAAAGGCTAAAGGAATGGCTGGATCCTTAGATTAACTACTTATTAACAACCAAACAAGCTAAATGGATTGAATGGCTTTTATTCCATTATTGCTTTCTTTACACTTTTATGTGTTTGTTGAGCTCTCCATAAGGACAGACATTGCTTTGTAATGTAATAGAGGTGTTGAGGAACTTACAGTATATGAATTATAGGAGCTGATGTGTCTCTGTATATAATAGAAAAAAATAAAAGTTTATTTCACTTTAGTCAAGCCTTTCATGGTTGTGTATGACTCAGATTTCTGTTTGTTTTTTTTATTCTGCAGTATTTCCTGATAGTTTTCCACTCTAAAAACCTTTAGGTCAACAATCAAGTTAGTGACAGAAACTAATTAATTTGCACAGAGGCCACGGGCTTTAACAGAGTTTAGAGAGAGTTGGTCACATCACTGTGACACAAATTATTGTGGCATCTACTTGAGCCTTAATCTGTGACTAACTCCCAGCACACATGAATTACTTATTCATCAGTAAATCCCTAACAGTAGAAAAAAATAATAATTATAAAGTAGTGAACTGATTTAAAGAAATTGGAATTGACAGGACAAGTACTAATTAAACTGGCTAAAATAAAGAAACTTTCTCCAAAAGACTGCATCAGAACAACACAAATTGGCTTATCAGATCCTTAGTGCCCCCCCATCTTTAGCATGCTATTTCAAATAGTAATTACCTTGTATGCATGCTCACTGTTGCTTAGAATATTTCAATAGCCTTGCAAGCTTTAACAAGTCACAAAAAGTAAAATACAACGGGCCCCTTCCTATGCATAAGCTAATGACTTTAACACTGATCAGCACAGACTGAAATAATTATCTTCCAGCAGACCTCCTTTTTGAATGAAAACTTTGAAGTACATCTTTTGTCACGACACTGCGCCAGAATCCAAGTGTCTTATGTTGAATGTTCTTCGACCAGTGGAGGGAAATGTACTTGTCCTTGTCTGCTGTCCATTATTTAAATGGAGAATGTTGACAGTTAATACACGTGAATAAAATAGGCTGAATCATTAAGTATGGACATTAAACATCACATTTGCTATGATAATGTTTGCATGTTTGAAAGGATTATTGTTGGGACTATGCCTGCTCCTTTTATTCTGATTTCTTTTTGTGCATTGTATTCATTGTTAATACAAAAAAGCCAAGTCAGGCATGACAAAAAGCCTAAGTTTGATGCAAATCTTTAAAAAAAAATAAGAACTCAGTAAGGCTTAACTATGTGGGAAAGTACAACAGCATCCTCTAAACCTTAAATTTAGCCATTGTATTTTGTAATTCCTCTCCAAAAGACAATTTGCTAGAGGGCACTTTACCCTTTTTTCTTAAGCTCTGAAGTGGGAATGAAACATCAAAACCAAGTGTGTTATGAATAGACAGTATCTGATAACAGTCACCCTCTTAGCAAGCTGTCTTTCAAAGGACAGATTAAAGTGAAGCATAGGAAGACTTGTGTCATTGGATAGTACATTCTGTAAGTCGCCAATGTTAAAAAACCCTAAGCAAACACAAATGGCATCTGGAGGAGCCTATCTGTTTAGTTTTTGTATGAACATCTGTAGTATTGGGTCATTTCTGGAGAATGCTTTTTTTTTCTTGGTAGGTTTCCTGATCTCAAAGTTCACAAAAACCTACTACTTGGGAAATGCATTACTTCTTATATAGTCTCCTGCTTATTTATTAAACAGAAACAGTATAATATAATACCTACCTGGTATTATAATGCAAAAGCAAACAAGATATGTTTCCTACCATTTAACCATCTGGAATCATGCTGCTCAGTCCTGATTGGATGATGCTGTCCTAAAGTGCGGAAGATGGCAAAATCCCTGCCCATGAAATCAGCTGCTGTTCCAGAATACAATTCTCCATCTGTGATTAAAGACAAAAAATGAATAAAAAATCCAAGGGACCATACTGTATATTGAAGAATATACAAGTGTTTATTGTACCTAAGGTATAACACTGCATGAATAGCAGGTAATAATCACACTGTGACTACTTTGACACATTGTTGAAGAAAAATCACTATGGATGTAGAATCCATTATAATTCATAGCATCAGAATTTCTTAAAATTACTGTAAAATGACAGGAATGCAATACTTGATAACAATGATTAATTTGTAATTAATTCATTTAAAACGATTTTAACAATGTGAATGTTTTCTGGGTGCATTTGGAATAATTCTAGGTAAGCCATTTCAGTTTTTTTATTAAATTTTTTTTTATTCTTTTTTAATTCAGTATTTTTTTCTTTTTCAGGATAATTTAAACAATAATGCATGTTTCACAACTACTCAAAATCATACTATAGTTTCCATTGTATCATGTCATACTACAGTATGTATACCAGTTAGAGAAACAGTTTTTTTACAAACTGTAGGTTCACATATGTTTCCAAACTTCAGCTGCCTTTCATATTAAAGAAAATGTATTCTTGTGATTATAAGAATATAATAATGAGCTCCCTATGAACAAGATTTACTGTACAAGTTCATTAACAGTGCAAATAATAAAACCTCACATCTTTACCATACGGAGCAAACTTTAAGTAATTAAACAAATATTACCCCAATTAAAACTTACATTTTCACATATTTGTTTAAACATTTTCTTCCTCTTAACACTACCATTTTTAGTGAGCAATATGAAATGTGAGATTTCACAGATGATGGAGACTTTATCATGGTGGAACACCCTGATTACATTATTCTCATTTAACAAAGAACGAACCAGAAATAATTAGTGGTGTGAAATTTCTAATTGCTGGTGAAAAGACCCAGTGCCATATGGCAATGATGAAAAACAAGAAGGGTGAAATGTATGACAGTGGAAGTGGTTAGAAATTAAGGACTCTCAAATGATTTACAGATTTACAGCAATTGAATCTGACTGGCCTGGCAGGAGGGATAATAAAAAAATTAAATAGTGAGCATGTCATGCATAATTCAGCCATTTAAGATTAATCTCCTTGCCAACTCTTTCCTGCGTTCCAAAAGATGAAGATTTAATTAAATCTTTTGGCACGTTCAAATTTCATTTCCTCTTAAATCTTGTTTTTAAAATAAATATAAAGAAATGTATAACTGCTTTCTCAAAAAATTCATGGTAAAGCAGAGGAAGAATGTTGTTAAACATCAAATATTGTAGTTAGATTTTTGCTGGTGAACAATATAAATCATTAAGTTGAGGTAGCATCTGCAAATTTACAGTACAGAGAAAAAGTTTGTAAAGCCCTTGAGCTGATCCATATTATTATATATTTCAGACTTAAAGACAGTTACTGTAGATCATTTACTAAGGCAAGAAGCCTTAGTAAATGATAAGCATAAAATAATTAAATCTATAACACATAAATGATATATATATACAGTATATTTGGATTATATCTATTAACAAAACGATCCAACAGTAAATATCCTCTTGTGTGTACAGTAAGTGTGTGAAGCCTTCAATTCATGACTGGTTCAACAACAACTTCAACTAGACATTACAAATAACTATCTATCAGTCTCCCACACTGGCTTTTCAAATTTTTGACCCATTCTTCCTTATGGAACTCCATCAAGTGCAGACATTTGTGAGTTTTTTTACACAGACAGCTTGGTTGATAACTTTTCAATGAAGTTAAGATACAGACCTTGATTTGAAAATTCTAAAATGTGAAATTTCATATTCTTCACCTATTCTGTTATGAAGATCTGCTTATGTGTGATGAGGTTCTTCTGCTGGAAGTCAGTATTTGGTTTGCACCACTCAAAACATTTTCATTGTAGCCAAACAGTTAAACTTTGGACTTCTTTGTGCTGAGAACATTTTTCCAGTAGTCTTTTGGCTCATCAGGGTTCTATTTGGTGAACTTGAGATAAGCACGTTTTTAAGCTTTTTAGAGAGCAATGGTTTGTTCCTGGCTTTTCCTTTTTTTTTCAGGGATGAACACTGACATAAGTCTCAGAAAAACAGGCTCAGAGATCATTAGATGTTACTTTAGGCTTCTTGTGACTCCCTGGATGATTTCCCAGGTTGCTCTGTGAAGGTCTTGGCAGGATGTCCAGTCCTGGATTTTGTCATCATGGTCTTGATATTTTCCATTTGTAAGTTATAGTACCTGTCTCACAGGTGATGTATAGTTTAGAAATGTTTTTGTAACACTTCCCAGACAGGTGTGCATCAATTACTCTTTTCCTGAGGTCCTCAGAAATCTCTTTAGTTTTTTCACTTACATGTATGGTGAAAATCAAAGCTTTTGACCATCATATGGGACAGGGATACCCATTTACTCATCTACTCATTACCAATTATTTCATGTGATTCTGATTTACCTCTTAGTTTATGACAAATAAACTAGTTATTTTTATATTTATTTTTTTTACATTTATTTTTAATTATCAATTTAATTAATAATTTAATTATCATATGGCATGTCTCAAAATTTGAATGAATTTGGTTTTAATGAATCAAAGGTATCATGGTAAGAAATTGTAATTCCAATATTTAAATTGGAGTTTTAAAAACATTTTCTCCGCACTGTTTAGTAAAATGTTAAATACAGTGAAAAATACCAAGGCTGCTCAAAGCCTGTGGGAATAGCTGGCAAAAGTTGTTAAATCAGGAAACAAATTTATAAACTAAAATGAGACATGTTCTCACAAGTCTCAAACTCTCTGTCATGGCAAGCCACAAATGTATTCTTCTGACATTGTAGCCATTTTCATCTCTTGCTGGGCACTCAGGGAATGCATACTTGAAGAGCACTTAAAGATCTATTCAGCCCACCAATCCTAATCTGCAGCAGTCAGGCAAATCTGCAGTTTAATTACGTTCCTCACTGAGCAAAACAAAAGATGAGAAGTCAAGCATGGAGCTGCTGCCATTGAGGAGCTGCATGGTGTCCAAAAAGAGCTTTTTGAAAAGCTTGTACTTGTGTCAGCAGCCTTCTGACACTTCAGTCAGCCAAAGAGCATTATCTAATCACTGACCTGTCTTCATTATATATGCTGAAAGCAGAGAAGATTTGTTCAGAATATTTTCAGATTCTGGATAAACTTTTTAAGAAGTTAATGGGGTGAAAAAAAAATCCTAAATCAAAATGAAAACAAATTGATTAGCTTTTTTATAGCTGCTAAATGTTCTAAATTTAACAATTTCAAATAGACACTATAATAGAAACAATTTATATTTTTAATATGAGTGGATTCACTAAATGTTTTAAACACTATGAATAATTTTAGGTGCCAAACAAGAAAATAATAGAAAAAATATAATTTTTGGAATCAATACATGACATGTCACGTTTTAGCCAACACAAGTTTAAAATGATACAAGCTTTCTATATATTTTGTTGCTATTATTACCCTCAATAAGATAAACATACAGATTAGAAAATGGTATTACTGAGCTGTTCATTAGGATAACATTTACATTTACTCGTGACAGAAAAGTTTCATCTGGAAGTAATTTTAAAATAAAACTCTTTGAGAGCAACAGTGCTTAGACAACTTCTGTAACAGATGCTAGGTCAAAGGGGTAGTCTGTTTACGATAGTAGCTACAGACATCTGGATTAAACTGCCATTCGATTATGACACCATGGAGAAACCTACATTTTCAGAAACATAGAAAAGTCATCATGAAGCATTAACAGCCTGCAAACTTGCATTAAGGGCAAACACTGCACAATCAATCAAATATTTGCACTCCAGGATAGACTAAGAAGGGCTGAATAAATGTTTTTAGATCAATTCAGAACTTTTCAGTAAATTTCTAAATACCTAAGCAAGAAAAGAATCAGTCAAACCTTTGTCTTCATGTTCTCCAGTCTCAGCTCCTCTGCAATTTCTATTTTCAGAAATGTGGCCAACACATTCAAAGTCCCAGGGGAAATGAATGATCAGCCTATCCATGACAAACTTACCAATTAAAAGAGAAGCAGTCTGCAGCTTTGGGTCATAGGGACTTTTTCCACGGCCATTCTCAAAATGGGATGTTTCCAGTCTGAAGATAGTATCCTAGTTATAAAATCAATAGTAAGAAATCTTACATGAAAGGAAATACATTATTAAAATTCAGTTTTCAATATTTTTGTCATTAAGGTGGACATGTCTCACCATAATGAAATCTATTTAATTGAATATGTTTAACTTTTTTAATAATCATGCTTGTCACTTAATGTATTACATGGAATTGTTGTATTCAGAGTATTAGTAAATATAATATGATGAATAAATAGAATTATTATAACAACCCTATTATTTTGACAACATTAAATGTTTGGGTACTGGTACATGTAATATACATTCTTATTTAAGTTTTGAGTAATTATATCCCAAATAACTGCAAATGCAGTAATTTGTCAATTCTACTCATTAATGTTTTATAGAAAAAAAAATCAAATTGCATTTTTACACAAATATAAAGATCATGGCGCAGTAAACTATTTTTGATTTTCTACTTCACTGTTTGATCCAAATCATTTAAGATTTAAATCTTTAAGTCATTTGTATCAGCAAAAAACACCCATTTGTCACACTTGAACAGTATATTGCATTTTGTGAAATAAAAATGTAGCCCATTGAGCATGCATGGAATGAAGTAGTTGGTTTCTTAATTTTCATAAATTAAGAACCATTAGATTGAGACAGTACATCTCAGAATTGATTAACTCAGTGACATCTTAATTATAAAATTATTGTGTATCAAGTGTTGTGGAAATGGCAATTTCACCTGCACTGATTAATGAAGGCAGTAGTAAGGGTAAGTCAATCACTTAGGAGACATTGAATTCAATCAACAGTATTGAACTTTCTTCTCCAGGGATGGAAGCACAATTCTCCAAAAGCACTGACAATTAAAATCATTTGACCGAGCAACACACTGTTGTCAAGTGTAATCTATCAAATTGTTCTTCAACCCTATGAAGAAAATTGATCTTTACAAAAAGATAACAGGCTGAGGGCAGTGCAGCACAGAACACATTCATTTTGTATGTAAAAACTGCCTCAGAGTTTCATATACGCCTACCAGTAAATTGGCATTATATATGGAAAAGTAAAAAATGACTTCACCAATTGAATTAAAGGGGGAGTTTGGGCAGCCCGGATTGTTCAACTCCAAGTTGAATTGAACCAGAACACTAGATAAACATTTAAGACAGAAATTTCTTCAGTGTATTAAGCATAAATTGATTAAGAAGATGCAGACTTTCAAATTACTACAGTACTTTAAGATATGAAAAAGCAAAATAAAGCAGATTCCATGCTAATGTCAGCTGTAAAACTAGTATAAAACAATCTCTAATGTATTACAAAACAGCTGTTGCAGTGGGCAGTAATAAGCACAGCACCCAGTGGTTTTGGGCTATTTTATAAAATCAAAATTCTTTTTTACACTTTTTACAAGCAGCCAATTGCATAAGAACAGTTACAAATGAGATGAGATCATTTAAAAACATTTAACGTTTTTCAGTAGCTAATTTAATCCAAAGATTTCATCCAGTCATGTTAACTGACTTATAAATATTGATCTATAACATTGTCCTGTTTTGTCAGTCTTTTTAGTGTGACCGCCAGTTTAATGAAGAACAAAATAAAACTAAAATGCACACTGCTCACTTGTGACTTACAGTACATACTGTATTTACGTATCTTTTATTTCTTTGAAGTAAGTTCTCTGAGGCCAACTGTAAATCATATTTTTTATAATATTACATTATCGGGGTGGCACAGTGGCACAGTTGAAACAACTTATTAAATATCAGTAACAATACAATATACATATATACAATATATGTATATGTCCATATGTTGATTTTAATGATAACTACAGAATAAGTTAAAATTATTCTGTAGAATTATTGACACCTGAAGAAGGCTCCACGGCCGAAACATTGTGTTCTCTTTCTTCTTTTTTTCAGCATGGTCTAAACCTGCTGACGCAGCTACCCACCTGAACTACTACAGAATAATGCCTTGGGAGGACATTTTGCAGTAGTGCTGGCATCCATGTATTACCATACATTTCCAATTGTGGGTGGACTATTGGATTTGCTCAACAAGTTCAAATTAACAACTGAATAGCGATTTAAGGTTTTTTTTTTCTTCCTATTATTTTGGTTTCTTTATTGTATGTATGAAGATAATGTCTTGGTTAAATATTAGAATGAGAATAGTAGAGTGGTCTGAATCTATAAAGGTGAAGAATGTAGACGTTAATAAGATTTTAGTTTCATGTTTCCTATTGAAGACATACTAGAGCAAATGCAATGAATGATACATTAAACTCTGGTCTTTTTTTTGTTTACAATAGGTTTTTTTACGATGAATATTCAGAATGTCCCAAAACTGGGGGAAAGTAATTTCCCAGTTACTTTGTTGTGTTAAATATATTTTGACATTCAGTAAATAATTGGATATTCTGTAATACAAATGCTTAAATACTTCAAAGACTACAGCCTACATACCCCTTGTTAGATAGAATACTAAATGAAAGAAACATTTATATTTTAATAGATTAACTTGGAGTAGAATTCACCATTTTTGTTCCAGATAAATGCAGTACCGAGTAAGCTATGTGTGATAATTTCTGTGAATATGAATCCCATTTCGGCAATGGACTGGTGTGCCATCCAGAGCATAGTATGCCCCTATGAAAGGCTTTGTGTTACTGTGACCCTTACTTCTTACTGTATCATTATATGAGAATCATATAATGTATCATTATATATCATATCATTCATATGAGTAGCTTCATTGTATACTGTATGTCAGGTGTTTTGTACTGTATTTCTCCACATTATTCTGATAAATTTAGTTTTAAAAAAGTATCAAAAACATTTGAGTGTAAGAGCACAATAATAATGCAGTTCCTCATGGAGACCTTTCTATTTCCCTCATACTGCTTACCACATTGTAAGTCACTTTTTTCCTGTTAAAAATGCTCATTTTACCACATAAATCTCACTTTCTGCTCACCCTGGAGCATTGACTTGTGTACCTCATTACTGTCTTAATGTATTTCACTACATCCAAAGACTATGAATACAGGGTAAAATACAAATAAATAAGTTGTAATTAGTAATTAATTAGATACTAACTACAACAATACATTTATAGATTTTTGTAAACTGAATCTACCATAATAGTTTTCTCCTTTACAGGCGATAATAAAACATATTTTTTTCTTCCTCGATTTTGATATAATAGATATCTATCTAAAAGGTACAATTACAATGTAATCTAGGAAGTGAAACAAGTTAGAATGTACATCATATGACAAACACTCACTTCTCCAATATCTATTTTTTTTTACCATTATACATACCATAATTAACATACATTTTAGATAGCTAAGTGCTGTGGATAAATATATACATTTCAAACTAAGATAAATTTACAAATGACCTAGTGTACGTTTTCCTAGTTATTTTTATTATAGTTAATAGAGTCATCAGGCTATATACAGCCATAGCCTAGTTCTCAGAAACTGACTCCACAAGCAAATTCTGCAACTTCTTAGTGTAAGAGAAAAACATGACAGTAATACAGTTAAAAAACGTAACATGAATTGATTACTGGAATATTATTATCAGAGGAGTAGTGACCAGCTGTTAGAGGTACAAATTGCCATAGGAGTGAATTCTAGTGAGTAAAACAAGTAACAGGGCCAATTATTACACACACTTATTGTTGTTGAAATGTACTGTCTTGGGAACAAGTTGTCCGATTTAGATGTATTGTCATGGGGATGATTTGTCATGGGAGTGAATTGTCATGGGGACAAATTGTCTGGGACAAATCGCCATGAGGGAAACTGACAGGGAAAAAGTAAAGTGGTGTGGAACTGAAAAGTAAAGTGTGTAAAGGTGGAGGCCATAAAATATTCATATGAGTTCTTAGTTTAAGTTTAAATTTCCAACCAAAGCTAAAGACAATCCCCCCTAGAACTATTTTTTTTCTCCTATTCACTATTTTGGCTTTTAACATTATCCAGATTTGTGTGAAGGCAAAAGTGAAAAGCAATTTCGTTTCTAAGATGTCAAAGGGGAAGACGTGGCATGATTTATTATCCTGCCTGTCAGCCTTTCGGTATCTTTGAATTTTAGAAATGATTCAGTTTAATCATAGTATTAGTATTTTTCCATTTATAAAGTTTCACTAAAATTATACATCTTGATATTACTATGCTGCATTAATATTTTATTTTTGTGTTTTATTGTAATATTACATTTTACTGTATGTTTAAAAAATAAAAGTTTTGTAAGTGGTCAAAACTGGAGGACTTGGGGGACTTTCCTCATGCCTGATTATGAGACAATATTCAGTATTTTAGCAACTCTATAGCTTGTTATGGGTTATATTTACATAAATGTTAATAATAATAATTATTCCTTATACTCCTATAGCGCTTTTCTGGACACTCCACTCAAAGCACTTTACAGGTAATGGGGACTCCCCTCCACCACTACCAATGTGCAGCATCCACCTGGATGATGCCATGGCAGCCATAATGTGCCAGCATGCTCACAACACATCAACTATCAGTGCGGAGGAGAGTGATGAAGCCAATTCATACTGTAGGTAGAGATTATTAGGAAGCCATGATTGGTAAAGGCCAATGAGAAATTTTACAAGGACACCGGGATAGAACCCCAACTCTTTTTGAGATATACCCTGGGATTTTTAATGACCACAGAGAGTCAGAACTTTGGTTTTACATCTCATACGCAGGACGGCACCTTTTTACAGTATAGTATCCCTGTCACTATACTAGGTCATTAGGACTCACACAGACCACAGGATGAGCACCCCCTACTGGCCCCATTAAAAGCTCTTCCAGCAGCAAACTTAGCTTTCCCAGGAGGTCTCCCATCCAGGTACTGGCTAGGCTCACAACTGCTTATCTTCATTGGATTGCCAGATGTGAGTTGCAGGGCGATATGGCTGCTGGCTGTTGTTGTTTAAATCTGTGTAGTTTAACAATGTTAAAGATGTTGTAGTTTAAATCTGAAATTTCAGACTAGCTAGCTCTTAACACAATGTTTTGAGAACCTTTTATTTATTTATGGTATTATCTTGATAATCTTGTTCCATAAAGACTGCATTCATAATTAGCTAGATATTCACACTGCCTAGCACCTGTTATACGTTCTGAATAAGTTAAGAGAAGGTAAATGTTTATTGAAGAATATAATGTGAATAGACATCAGAATAAATATAAAGGTAGGAAATGGGTTTTATTCCAAACAAAAAAGAATAGGATGGAGAAAGTCTTCAGTGGGAATTTTGTCCTCTATTTATACAGAGAAATAGACAATATGGTTGGAGTATACAGAGCATATGGAAAAACAAAACCTCCTTGTTTGCATTCCAAAGAAATGACACTGAGTGCAGTTTAATCCTGTATCTGAAACAGACACTCATAAATAACTTGGAAAATAATTAAAAGGCTGAAAAAACATTATTTCAAAACATTATTTCAACAATGAAAGGATAAAAATAATGAAAATATCCAAATAGGAATTTTATTTGTTTTAAACACAGATATCCGTATAATGAATATTCATTTACTTAGTCTGTATGTAAACCAAATTTACACAACAAATAGAGATTCACAATTTTTTCAGTATTTGAACTCAATTTACACTTAAATAATCTGGTCTGATCTGTACATCATGGACATTTTCAGATAAGAATACAATAATCATAATTTGTAATAATCTTATAATATAATACTCATAGAGACTATCATTTAGCTGCAAGTTCACCTAGTCATCTTACAAAGTTAAATTTTGATCACTGGCACCATCAGCTATCTGTATGCATTACATTTGAATATCACAGATGACGTCTCATATGTTAAAGTAGAAACAGTCTCATGCTTATAGGATGTTTAAAGGTAAAATCCAAATCAAAAGGTATTTTATCATTGTAAAAATAATAGAAAAATCAAAACTCAGAATCATTACCAAAGTTCATTCAATAAAGACTAATGACTCTTTCTCATTTTCCTTATTCATGGAGTATAACTATATGTCCAATTCTATTTTCGAACCATGTCTAACTTTAAGAAAAATGCATTTGTGGAAACATGACATCTTAAAGTGGTTGAACAGGACAGCTGGAAAATATCCCATCTCTCTCAGCCTCATATGTCACTTTCATGTCAATTTGCAGTTCAAACAATGTCCAAACAAAGACGTCTAAACAATGAAGACCTTATTTATGTCTGAATGGCTTTTTGCCTCCCAAGCATTTTGTTGTTTGCAGACATTAGGAAATGAAAGATTTTAATATAGCAATTGTCGGTATCATAAATAATGCTATCATTGTACTGTGGTGCAGTGATTGCCAACTTACTAGGCTTCGTAGAGTTTGATCTGTAAGTATAATTAAAGGCAATAGAGTGCACAAGGTATGATTTCTTTCCTCTATTTTGATTATTTATCTTGTTGCAGTGTACTCTAATTGAATCTGTGCTATTTTTGGACAAAAGCTTGTACTCAATTATACATAATTATGCTAAATCTAATTCATTTCAATAAAAAAACAATAACAATGTAAAAATGGGTTTACTGTATGAGCACATTTGTTTCACGGGGAATAAAATCAAAAGGCTTGTGTATGTTTTCAGATACTGTGCTGTGTGCATTCAGTGAACCTATTGTCAATATCCAACAAAACAAATGAGATCAGTCTTTACACATCCTGCTGAATCAGCTCTCCAGAAGTGCTTGTAATGTCAAATGAGAGTAGTGATACAGGGATAAGCCAAAGGAGATGACTTAGTGGATGATGTTGTAGACAAAATGTAGGACCTGTACCTGTATTGGATTATAGCTTTCTATTTTATAAGCATTGAGCTCACAATAACAAAGGAAGAAGCCAAACGTTAGCATGTTTAATGAATATACAGTAAGTTACAGTAAGTTCTGAACATCAAAATGTTTAATGGGAAAACATTGTATGTGTGCATGTACTGTATATACTGTATTTAATGTAACACACACTTGTAATAAAGGTCCAATCAGTCTGCTTTCATGTAAAATACTTAATTGAGACTTTAAAACTAAAAATGACTGTTATACACATCTGTTCCTCTTGTTATTAAATTATTCTATGCCAATGTTATTTAAATCGGCAAGACATGAATCAACCAAAAATGTTAACAATGAACTTTAAAGAAAATAATTACCTCAGGACGTCTTCCAACTTCAAGGTAGGCACAAATAGGATGAAAGGCCCCAGTTCCACAAACATACAGATGTGTTTGGTTAAAGGTTTGAAGCACTTTGATGAAATTGGAACATTCTTTCTATTGGGAAAGATAATAGTACAACAATAGGATTTAATCAGTAACATGTTCAATTTTCTTTCTCTTGTGGTACTACTGTATATTTGTGGTTAACAAAACCTTGGTTTTTGGTAACCATAAGCTTCATGATCTTGCTTTCAGTTTATAAATTTTAAATTGATTCTTCCCAACTGAATTGTTTCCACCTGTTTTATGTATTCTCAGGAAGGCTGGATGTAGTGGAGGCCCTCCAACAAAACTTTAATAGCATTCCTAAAAAATCATAGAGACCCAGCAGGATGTTTTAGGAGAGCATCTATGGAGGAAATCTTTCCCATATGATACATACAGGTGGACATATCTGAAACACATTACAACTCCAGACTATACAAATGTAAATTGGAGAAAGCCATGCCATTTAAACTAATCAAGCCACGAAATATGTTTACTTCTTGAACTGAACACTCAAATAAAGTAATGTAGAATTTGTATCAATACAAGTACATTGAATTATATTGAATTAAAACATTTATTTATACCTTTCTACTTTTTTTACATTTTCACCTTTCCAAAGAGAAAGGCATGCATACTTATCCTGTTAATGGACAAAAAGTTTATTCATTTTAAGAAAATCACCTTTAAAGATAGAAATAAATTTGCTTTCAAAAGTCAATAAACTATGAAATAAAACTTGAAATAAATCACAAGCAAATTACAAACATAGTAAATTACAAGCTCTAACAAAAAAACCTTCACAGAAACCTACAGCATTAATATTGGAACTTATATTTTTAGAAATATTTTAGAAACCAATCCAAAAATATTTTGTTAATGCTCATATTGTGATAAATATCTCTTTCATTACAACACATTACATTCTGAGTGACATTGTAGATCTGTTCTTATAATAATGTCAGCAACACTAATCTTTGTGATTCATTTGTAACTGAGAGTGAGAAGACTGTTTTTCAGAAGTAATTATTTTAATACTGGGAATTTGAGATAACCCTAAAAAGTGAGTTGTGTTTGTCCTAAAAACATATGTACACCACATTTTTTATTTATATTTAAAGATATCATATCTTTTTTCTGCAGGCCAGTTCCTGAATAATAAACATTCACAAGAGCTTCTTTAGCAAAGGTCATATCAGTGAGCATTTCATATTCCAAAGCACAAATCCACAAAGATTAATGCAGACCTTTTCAGAATTGTTAGAACAATAAAGAACATCCATCTGTGTAAACATCTGTTCAAAAAGGAAGCCAAACATGTGTCTCTTGTATTTTGTATGTCATATAGAAATATGATCTCTTTTTGAGCACACATGAATATGAAATGTCACTGGATAGTTGTTAATGAAACTACATCAGCAATTACATGGTTGATATTTTTATTCCAGAAAGTTAATTTTCCTGAAGGGCACTGTTACAGGAGTATCCTTAATTAGAATATTTCAGCTGGTTTGATAATTCTACTTCCATAGATTTAACACGGTCTTTAAATGGTCTTTAAATGATTTAATTACAGTCTTTAAACAACTTTAAACAGTTTCTGCAGGGCCACTGAACACAAGAAAAATCAAAATGTTAAAAATCTGCAGGAAACATAAAAGAACTCTGCAAGATCTCACTGATTCTTTGAAAAAGCTTTATTTTCAAGTATATCTTGATTAAGGATCAATACTTTTATTTTATTAATAAAGGGCACTACTGGTAAGGTATGTTATACTGTATATTCAGGTGAGTAGCTTGTTGTCTTTCTACAACACAGCTGTGGAGTCCTAGTTGTCTAGAACAGTACAACTTAGGCTTAGGCTAAGGCTTTTTTTTCTTAGGCTTTTTTGTTTTGTCAATGTGTATAGTTACCTAAAGCTGAAGGAGTATGATATTTGAGGAATTGTGCGAAGAGGCACAGTCTTATAAGTGATCAAGGCGATTTAAAGATTGAAAGTGTTGCTGAAATCCTTTTTAATTAAACATTTGATTCTTAGAAAACAATGTGTTATATTACAGTATATACTGTATTGTAAACATATTCCAAATTTTAAAAATTCAATTAATTCAAATTACTTATCAAACAAATTTACACATACAGTATTAAGAATTTGTTTTCATAGATTTAATTTCAATTTGCCAGCCATAAAGTAAATAAACTGTAAAGGTGTTGTAGTATAAAATACAACTGTTCTGGGGTGAGTTTCCCGAAAACGATTAATCTTAGAGACAAACGAGCAGCTTTACGATGTACGTACGTAACGTACGACTTACTTTTTCGTGGGTTTCCCAAAACCCCTCTTAATCGATCATTTAACGGGCGAGTATAAAGTACTTCTTTGTTAACCCCTCCCCTGAAGTCGCTTAGCAAAAAGCATCACAAGTCGATTGAAAAACAATCGATTGACAATACTTTCATTATATGGTGTCGGTTTTGGTCCTTCAGTGGGGTGAAATAAAGTTGTGAAAAGGAATATGAAGCAAACATGACATCATAATTTAACAACCATTTTAGCGAAAGCGTATAGATAGGCCCAAAATGGGACCCTTATTGTTTCTAAGAGAAAAGCAAATAAATGACCGTAAAAGAAAATCAAGTTTAACTGCGTGGACAGTGTATGCGTCCTGCATGATGTCTTTGATTTAAAACCATATTTTTTGGTGCGCTGCCATTGTTAAGAATCACAGTGTTTCATGAGAAAAAAATGTTGTTATTTTTTAACATAAAACGGTATTCGAACTTTAAATATTGTATCGACCGTGGGTTTCGGTACGGAATGGAGCAGGCATGGGAATGGGGCTGAACAACAAATTTATTAACTCGAATCGGGAAAGGTACACACACAGGGACAGGGGTTACAGCGCTGCACCTACACTAACATACACATACGAAGGGAAGAGACTGTATCCCAGACTCCGTCCCACTATATAGTCCGGTAGTCCCCAGGTGCTGTTCTCAGCCCGCCCTGCATGGCGCTACATTGTAATACATGTTACATGTTTCACCTTCTTTATGGAATTTAAATACATTTTAAACTCCCCCCAAAAGTACTAAAAGAGGGAGTATTATTAAAACATTTGACTTACAGTAAAAATATGAAATGTACCCAAGATGACTAATAAATTAATTACTGTATAAATAAATGTTATTTTTTTCGAATTTCCTCTTACATAGTACACCAAAATATCAAAATCCTTAATATAAACTCTTAGTATTCTATATTTCAAGAGAATTCCCATGCCGTGAATTGAATGTGCTCTGTCTGGCGATCTCTGACACTAAGGTTGGCGCAAGAGGTAGCCAGTTTAAGAAGCACTTAGTAATTAACGAGTGGGTCGGGGAGCACGTAGATTACGAAGGATTTAACGTTTTACTTTAGTTACGATAGGTTTTGGGAAACACTCGTAAATTAACAATCTATCTTAAGAGCGACTTTACGATGTTCTTAGCGCTATGATGCTTTCGGAAAACTCACCCCTGGATATTAATGTCATACCACACAGCAAGGAACAAATCTTTTAGCTTGGTGGTTTTAGTCTTGATCTTCACAGATCTGTGTTCTAAGTTATGACTATATACTATATAAAAACATAAAGGTTGTATTGATTTATTCAATATTATTATGTTATACTACATATTCCTCATGGTAGCTGAGTATAGTGGTGCTAGAGAAGTTATTTAACTGAAAATAATTCAGGAATTAAATAGACAGATCCAAAAAACACTTTCTGCATCTGTATTCCTGCCCCCACACAAAAAGTCAAGTTAAAACTAATTCCTGTTTCAATTTTACATCAATATAGTGTACCTAACAATTTATTTCCTGTCAATAAACAACATCTAATACATAAACATAGTAAGCATGGGAAGCATAAACACCAATGGGAAAAAAGGATCACAATTAAAATGACTATGATGAAGAACTGTACCTTAAAAGAGGTGGAAAGGAAAAAATAAAAAAAATAACTTGGGCTTAGAGACAAAAATAAATATACTACAGACTTGAAGCCTTACATATAATTAATTGTAAAGTGGTAGAATTACTCTTACAGGAAGTAAGGTTTAAGTTACAGATTGTTTGGAATGCTACAGGCATTATGTTATGGATATAACTTTAAAATAAAGCTAATCATGCCATTTAATAAAAATGCACTTTCCCCACTGGATTAGAAAATGTTAACCAATCACACTTGATCATTATCCAAGAAGATTACAGATTTCAACTTATTTTAGCTCCATTGTCCTCAGACTCAGCTTAGTAGGAAATATAACAATAAAAAGATAGCTAAGCTGCAGCACCCTTTGTTATCTCGCTCTGCTCAGAGCCTTCAGTCTTTTATTTTTTGACAAGACAGATACTCAGTAATTCCATTTAGTCTCAATAGGCTGAAAAATGACATTGTTCCAGCTCAGTAACAAATAGCTTTAGTCAGCCTCTCCTTTCATGAGCAAATCTCTGTCCAGACAGAAAACCTGTTTAAAGAGATCACCTGACATTCATGTGTTTGAAAAAAAAATACAGTAGTTCAAACAAAACCTACTCAAAGTCAATAGAGCTAGATAGTTTCCATATGAACCCATCTAGGCAAAAGCTCTGTTATTACAATTTCGTATTTCATTGACTTGCCCAGGGCAATATCTTGTTGAAATTTATCAGCGTGTGTAATCTGTAATATTCATATGCTGAAGTTTAATCTAGAGATTTCGCGCCACTTCATTTATCATTTTACTGAGCGACATTTTGAAGTTGACAGGCTGTTTGCATTATTATTATTTTTAGAGCATCTTTTGCCAGCATGGGTGTACTGTATGTGTGCCAAGTGCACTAGAACTGACAAGAAGTCAGAAATCAAGTCCAAAAAATATAATCATTCTTCTGTGTTACTGCTTAGGGTATTTGACTCAGCTGCAAGCAGCTATATTTTAAGTATTATTATAAGCCCATATTTAAATGTAAATAAGCCATGTGTGTAACAGTGGTGGAGCAATAGCTGGTGCAATTGTATGGAACGTTCCCATTCATTTG